ACTGTTGTATCCTCTCCCCATCCCTATTCAGTCTGTATATATGCTGAGCAAATTTAAAAAGCTGGAGACTCTAAGAATGGGAATCCCAGAACACTTGATTATCCTTATGTAAAACCCATACTTGGACCAAGAGGCAGTTGTCAGAATAGAGCAAGGAAACACTGCATGGTTCAAAATCAGGAAGCATGTACGCCAGGGATATGTCCTATCTCCTTACTTTTCTATATGCAAAACAGATCATCCAGGAGGCTGGGCTCTATGAGGAATGTAGCATTAGGATTTGAGGAACATTCATCAACAATCTGCATTATGCAGATGACACAACCTTGCTGAAACTGCGGAGGATTGAGGCGTTTGCTACAGAAGGTCAAGAACTGTAGTCTTCAATATGGATTGAAGCTCATTTTAAAAAAAACCCACAAAGATTCTCACCATTGGGACAGCAAGCAGCATCATGATGGACAGTGAAGAGATTGAGATTGTTAACAGATGCAGCTTGCGTGGCTCCACAATCAACATTCTTGTACCAGCAGCCAAGTAATCAAAAGACAACTTGCACTGGGAAAATCTGCTGCCAGGGACCTCTTCAGAGTACTGAAGAGCAAAGATGTCAGTGTAGAGATAAGAAGCACCTGATCCAGCCATGTTTGTAGCAATCACTTGCTATGCATCAGAGAGCTGGACAATGACTAAGGAGATAGAAGAATTGATGCCTTTGAGTTTTCGTGCTGGAGTATTGAATATACCATGGACTGCTGCTAGCTGCTTCTTAAAGATTTTAAAGCTTCATCCGACATATTTTGGGCGGGTTGGAAGGAGGGACCAGTCCTTGGAGAGGGACATCATGCTTAGAAGGGTGGAGGTACAGTGCAAGAGAGGAAGATCTTGCATGAGATGGATTGACTCAGTGACTGGGGTAATGGGGGTAGGTGTGTCAGAGACAACAAGGTTGGCTCAGGATAGAGATCGGTTCAGAGCCATTGTACATAGGGTTGCTATAGTCGCAAGTAACTCAACAGCACATAACATGAAAAATAATGGATTGGAGGAAGACTTATCAATATTCTTCATTATGCAGATGACACAAGTTTTCTTGCTGAAAGTGAGGAGGATTTGAAGTGCTGCTACAGAAGGTTCAACACTGCACCCTTCAATCACAATATCAAGAAAGCAAAAATCACTGGACCAATTGGCAGTATGATAAATGAAGAAATGATTAGAACTGTCAATTACTTCATCTTACTTGAAGCCCCAGTCAGTACATTTAGTACCAGCTGTCAGATCAGGAATTGTATTGCACTGGGAAAGTCTGTAGTAAAGAACTTCTCCAAATTATTGAGGAGCAATGATGTCAGTTTGAGGACTAAGGTGCACCTGATTCAGACTATGATCTTTTCAGTCACCTGGTATGCATCTGAGAGCTAGATAGTGAGTAAAGATAAAAGAATTGATGCCTTTTAACTGTAGTGTTGGAGAAAAGAACATAAAATCCCGTGGACAGCCAAAAGAACAGAGGAGGTCTTGGAGAAGGTGTAGCCAGAGTGCTTCTTGGAGGCAAGGATGATAAATCTTCATATATTTTAGGCATCTTGCTAGGACAGGCCATCCCTTGGAGAGGGACATCATGCTTAGAAGGCAGATGAGATAAAGACCCTCAACCAGGTGGATTGACAGTGACTGCACAATGGGCATGAGTGTGTCAGAGATTGTGAGGATGGCACAGGATGGGAGAGGGTTCACATGTTGTTCATAGGGTCACTAGAAGTCATACTAAAAGTCATACTAGAAGTCACCTAACAACTCCTGTTAAAGGGAGCTCTTAATGGTAAAAAGCTGGGTTATAATCCTAAAGCCACACAGTTCGAATCCATTAGTTCCTCCACAGGAGAATCTACTGCTGTGCAATTTGTTGTTATGTGCCATCAAGTTGCTTGCGACTCACTGCGACCCTATATATAATAGCCCATAAACCTGCTCTCTATCCTGTGCCCACTTTATCATCTCTGACACCCTACCCTCATTACTCCAGTCTCTGAATCAATCTCATCGATGGTCTTCTGAAAACCTGGAGGATCAGCTATGAGGCAGTTCTGACTTGATGGGACATGACAGCTGTTAACTGTTGACAACTTGAAAGGAGCTCTGGGGTCCGACTGGGTAAGAAGCAGGGCTGCCAACCAAAAGACAGGTGGTTAGAATTCACCAACTGCTCTGAGGGAAAGCGATAGGTAAGTAGTCTCCTGAAGGATTTAGAGCCTCTGATAACCGCTGGGGAGTCAGCTACTAGCTGGTTCTGACTGGATAGTAAGGAGAAGTTAACTGTTTGCTGCCTGGAGCAGGCCCTGACTCATAGCAACAAATGGGCAATAAAAGGCAACATTGCCCACTTGTGCTATCGTTACAACTGGTCATACATGTTAGGACCCAGAGGCACGGCTGGCTGGTATCTAACAACAATCCTGCTTTATATTTTTTAAATAAAATTTTATTGTGATTTTAATAAACATTTTTCATTCATTCATTGTTGCACTTTTGACTCCCTTGCCCTCCCTTACCTCTCTCCCCCAGTTCACTTTTTTTTATATTCATTCATTGTTGCAGTTACATACCTCCCCCTGCCCCCCTCTTGGCAATGATGTCTCTTATTCTGGCTGTTGTCATACGTATAATGCCTTATCATATTTCATTGTAGACAGTTCTTTCATTGGTTCCAATGCAGTGGTCTTTATCCACTCTTATCCTATTTTCCTTCTAATCCCTCGTGACAGACCTGTTTTATAGCAGTTGTGCTATACAGTATTTGTCCTCTTGTGACAGATATTTCACTCAGCATTATGTGTTCCAGGGTCCTAACATGTTGTGTAATGTTTTACAAGTTTTTCAGCACTGTGTGGTATTCCACGGTATACCATAGTTTTCCTATCCATTTGTTGATGGGAATTTTATCTATTTTAGCAAGACATTTTGGGATTGAAATTCACCGTTCCTAGAATACACATTTACTATTATTAAACAGAATAAAAATCCTTAAAGCAGAAATCTAAATAACTTCTATTTCTATTTAATAATTTTAGCCTTTCCTCAAAGGCTCAGGAGGAAGTTGATATTTGTTTCTTTCAGGAATCGGAATACTTTTTCTTAAAAGGGCTAAGAGGTTAAACTGAATATATTACAGAGGTACTTACACAACTATTTAAAACAAACTCCATGGAGCCCTGGTGTCGTAGTCATAGGAAGTTGCACTATGGCACCTCTCTGGTGGTTTGGATCCATCAGTGGCTCTGAAAGAGTAAGATGGGCAATCTCCTCCCAAGTGATTTATTTTATTATTTTGTGTGTGTGTACTGTCAAATCGGACACAGGAGGAGACTGTCCCTTCTTCTCCAGCAGAGCATCTGGTGGGTTCAAACTACATACTTTCTGGGATTGCAGTGCAGCTTCTTGCCACTAGGGCACCAGAGCTCCCTCTCCCAAGTGATTTATAAACCAGGAAACCCACTGGGGGAGTTAGCTATGAGTCAGATCCTACTTGCTAACAATGAGCTGAGTTATATGAAAAGATAAAAACTCTTGTTTGCAATTGGCTCACCAGTTTGGGCCCATAGCCAATACCTGGTCTACTTGATAAATTCTCTCAATTCTTGCGTCATTTGAAGGGTGGATGTAACATTCCCGTCTCCAGAAGGAAGGAGTGATTTCTTCACCCTCCAAAGTCAAATTACCACAATTCATTAGCTACTTTTCCCATGACACAAAATACACTCTCACAGCTTTGATGCAAAAGGTATTTTATTTATGCACTGGATAACTGTACAGATGTTTCTGCCATCATCTTTGTATCTGCCTGTCTCCATTCTGCTTAACTCCATTTGTACAAACTGAGTAGAGCACACACATCAAGTGGACAGGTGACATGATTCAATAATGACAAAACACAACACAATCATTGCAAATATAAATGCCAACAACCTACGTAGGAAGAAAGGAGATGGAAATACTAACATTGATTCTGATTTCAGAATGCTGCTGTTGCTGCTTGAAGTAATTTATAAAACCTGTTTTTCAGATTTATATATGACATATTATTGTTTTTCTTATTCAAGGGAAAATGACAATTGTTAAGACAAGGAAGGATGCCAAGGGCAAGGTCACAAATATATTTGGCTCTTAGACTAGAAACTACTACTGGTCATTAAGGAAATATAAGAAATAAAGAGTATAGCAATAGTCCCTATTATATCTTTCTCCTTTTTAAAAATCTATTTTCTCGTAATGTGAAAAAAAGAAAAGACCTTTTAATTATACTTGGACTGGATAACCTTTTACACAAGGATAATCTTTTGACAAAGCTCATTCAAACAAAAGAAACCAAATGACACAGTTCATTCAAACAAAAGAACCAAGCAGACTTTAAATCAACTATAATGCAAAGTTAATTCTAAAATGGAAACATAAGGACAACATTTTAAGCAACTAACAAAAAAATAAGCACAAGAGGCCCTTTCTGTCCTTCGCATAATTTTCTTATCTCAGAAAGGCAAGAGATGGTTAAGGAAACACATCACCCATTTAACAAGGAACTCAAAAGGTTAACAGGCGTAGGCCAGTGTTTAGCTTAGCAATTTCATGGCCTCGAAATATATATTCAATGATAATAAATCAATGACCAAAAAAAACTGAAGAGCGTACCTTTCTCTTTACAGGTGAGATTAAAGTGCTGTGGACATTTGATGTCATTTTTATTCTTGTACAAAAATCAATACCATTAAAACATGATTCTTTTTCTATTTGTCCGATAAATGAGGTAACAATATTATAAAAATATGTAGAAAATATTCTAGATTCTTAATTATCAGATGTGCTAATACCCATACTGCCAGTATAAACTTGATTTTAAAAAAATAGTTTCATTTCCTTAAAAACACTTGGCTCGTTAACCATCTTACATCAGATAGATGTCATTCTGAAGTACCAAAAAAACCCAATAAAAATGGCAATATCTACACTCGAGGTTTCTTGATGGGTGGATCCTGAAGACTCAACTTGGGAATTTTACCAGGAGCATAAGGGACTCTCTGTGAACACACTTTTTTGCCAATTGTCTCAATCTAGGAAAAAAAGAAAATTTAGAATGAATCAGGAACCATTTAAATGGATAAATATAAGAATTCTATTCAAGAACTTGCTATGCAGCTGAGACAGACAATGAATACAAATGACAGAATTGATGCCTAAGGGGAGCTCTGGTGGCCTAGTGGTAAGGAGCTGCAACTACAATCCCAGAGGCACACGGGTCAAATCCACCAGATGCTCTGCCGGGAAAGGAGGGACAATCTCCTCCTGTACCAGTCAGATCTGATTTGACGATACACTCACACAAAAATAATAATAAAATTAAAAAAGAATTGATGCCTCTGAGTGGTGGTGGCGGAGAAGAGTATGGAATATTCCATGGACTGCCAGAAGAACAAAGTTCATCTTAGAGGCAAGGGTGGTGAAACTTTGAGCATGTTGTTACCCGGGGCCAGTCCCTGTAAAGAACATCTTGCTTGGAAAGGCTGTGGGTCAGTGAAGGAGAGGAAGACACTCAATGAAATGGACTGACCCAGTGACTGTAATGATGGCCTCGAGAATGTCAGAAGTAATGAGGACGGCATGGGCTATGAGGCAGAGTTCAATGTTTGCAGGGTTACTGTGAGTTGTCATTGAACCATGGCACAACAACAGGATGCTGTGTTGCAACAATGAATGGATTTTTTTTTAAAAAGACAAAAACCCAAACATAATTCTGTGTAATGGTGACAAAAACCTAGATTCTTTTTCTTTATAAGAACACAAAACATTTCTCACAGTCTATGAGAGTTTTCTGTTTCCTCATTTTTTTCTTTCTAGGGGTCGGTCTGCACCCCACTGCTCTATTCCTGCTGCTCTCACTCCCTTAAAGGCCAGAGAATGACAAGCCACTGTCATTCAGTAAAGAGCTCTGACGGGATCGATCCTTGGGTTAGAATTAGGCTGCCAGTGAGATGGCTGGGGATTCAAACCATTCCAGTGGCCTCGGGACTAAGACCTGATGATCTGCTTCTGGGAAAGATTAAAACCTAGAACATTCTACGGGGCAGCACCACTCTGTCACATGGGGTCACTAGGGGTTGACTCGGCAGCACCTATCAGCTTCTTTTAATTAGATGTACAAAAGCCCTTTGCAGACCAGTTGCTAGTAGGTTTATAACTTTTCTCATATTCTATCTTCATTTCTATTCCCTTCCTCCTAAAAACGTTCATAAATAATAGCTTCAGTGAGCTCTGGTACGCGGTTCGAATCCACCAGATGCTCTGCTGGAGAAGGAGGGACAATCTCCTCCTGTACCAGTCAGGTCTGATTTGACGGTACATACACACAAAATAAAAATAAAATAAAAAAAATTTAAAAAATACCTTCTTCTATAAAATGGCCCTATCACCATCTGCCTCAAGGGTTTTGGTAAAGACTGAAATAGATAAAGTGACTGGCATGTGTGCAGTGTCTGGCAGAGGATTGTTCTTGAATAAATGGCAGTCAATTGTTCTTTTGCATGCATTCTAAACTTATATCCAGAGCCCTCAATCTTGCCCTTAAAGACACTGCTTTTATAGTCATAAGCTTATCTTCCCTCTACAGCAGCAATAAGCTATACTACTCAATTTTCACATAATTTCTTTTGAATGAAGATGAAGAATTAATTCTCATTCATATCACAAAAGCAAGGCTTCTGCTTTGTATTTTCTTTAGTGATTATCTTTACTTAAAATAGATTCCATTTTGAATTGCTTTTAAATTGTTAGTAGGGAAATTACAAGCATGCAAATTCCCATGAAATAGGTATCTTTCTGTCTCTTCTCCTTTAAAACAGGAAGGAAGGAAAGAAAGAAAATGTGTCTGTACCTTGCAAATAGCCTTTAAAAATAACAAACTTTAAAAAAAAACCAAAACTTGCATTTGAGTCATGACGGGAAGTTATGTTTACTCACTAAGGAGCAGTGGCACTGAAAAGTCCCCAAAGGCCTTGGTGGACAGGAATGTTAACAAAGATGCCAGTGGTTTTTGAGTCTCCCAGGAAGGGGAAATGGAGAAGGAATTCTAATAAAGAAGGGATCTTCAATAAGTCAGTGACAAGTTAAGAGAACTGGGTCAGATATTTTTTAATAGTAGGTGAAATCTTTCCAACCCAGCTGGTGCTAAGGAGAGGCACAGAGCCAGCTAAGAAACACGGTCTCTCCCCTGCTCCCAGTCTGCTTGGAGACTCTGCTGACAGCAATCCTCTCTTAACCTCATCTCCAGCCTCCTCCACCCAGCCTCCGAACGCTGCAAATGGAAAGGGGCACCGCCCTACTAATGCTGTTGGGACTGCTGGTGAAGCATAAACAGATGTAACATAGAAATGGTCTGCTCTGAGCAGACAGAGCCATTCACAGCCACTCTCTCGGTGTTCCAGAGTGAACTGGAAAAGTTGACTCGGATGAGGGTCGGTGTCACTGTGGCTACCATGACCTTCACTCAGACTGTGCAGCACCAGGACAGCGCTGTACTCTCAATGGGCAAAGGGTTAACATGTGACAAGTGACCAAGGACTCTTCTTCTGGACACCAAGTGGTGGGGATGACAGCTGTTCTGCTCTGGAGATGGCAGTGCCCCCAAAGCTCATGGCAGTGCTCCTCACATTATTTCTGACACACTTGAGCCCAACATTAGTCACTAGGTCAATCCATCTTGTTGAGGGTCTTCCTCTCCTTCACCGATCTAACATTTCCAAGGTTGATATCCTTTTCCAAGGACTGACTCCTCAACAACATGCCCAAAGTATGTGAGGCAAAGTTTCAGCATCCTTGCCTCCAAGGAGCACTCTTCCACATCTTTTCCAAGATATATTTCTTTGTCATTTGGGCAGTTCATGGAGTATAGACTCCCAAAGCATTTCCTTAATGACTGCCACAATCATACTCTATCCTTGCCTGAATTCTCTCTGGGTAAGAAAAGACTACAAGGGGAAAAACACCAAAAATAATGCTAATACCTGACTACTATATAGCATCATACAGCTTTTAAAACGTACTCATGGCCTCTCCCCTATATTTCCTTTCAAGGGGGGGGGTGTCTGTCCCTTTGGGATGTAACTTTCTAATAAATCTTTACATTTTACCTTAAAAACCCCCCACCTCATTTATTGTCCTAAAAAGATATTGCTAAAGAAAACACTAAAATTCAACATGCAAAGCTATTAACAAGGAATTGGATAAACAAACTAAACAAAAACAGCTCAGGTCCCAATTACCTGGAAGCCAATGGTTTGTAGTTCACTGTGGAGGCCATCAAGGACACGTCGCCCATCGAAGATAAAAGCTGGCTTCAGCATTTTCTTATGAATGCGTTCATAATCCAATTCCTATAAAGACAGAAACACAGACAATTTGAATGGGTAAGCTGTTGTTGTTGTGTACCATCTGGAACTGACCCATAGTTGACCCTCTAGTGGGTTTTCAAAGGGAGTTAATCACATGGGAGGAGACTGCTCATTGCCCATCTTTCTCCCATGAGCAGCTGGTGGATTTGAACTGCGTGCCTTTGAGAATGCAGTGCAGGTTCTTGCCACTAGGACACCAGAGCTCCCTAAATAGGTATAATTGCTAATTAAACCCCACTGATACCAGGACATCTTTAGAATTTTTCCTTGGTATTATTTTTGTCACCTCACCTTAAACATGTCCCATTCGGTGCAAATGACAATGGCATGGGCACCATCACATGCATCATACGGATCCTTAGAAATGGTCACCAGTTGAGACACTACAAGTCGGCAGCAGGAAAGAAGTTATTAAAAATTATGCCTTCTGACACCAGGAATGAGTCGAGGGTCTAGGACTATAACCTACTCCACCGCAGAGACTATTCAAGAGTTTCCAAATTCTGAAGCCAATACACTGACAGACGTGGAACAGGCTGGGTGAAGTACAAGGAGGGGGTCTGGGGCACCGCCCAATCTTTCTCTAGAAAGACCTTCTTGGGACTCTGGGATCTTTATAACATTTTGGCAAAGTCCTTAGATTAACCCATAACTGGTCACTTCAAACCAAAGTTTGAACCTCAGGGTTGGGGAGAGACTGAGTAAAATGGGTTCAATAATGTATACTGCACTGAAACAGAGGAGGGAGAAAACTGTTTAAAAGAGATATGTGACTAGGTATTT